GTAAATAAAATGTATATATAATATTTTACCGCCTTTGTGCTCTTAAATTAGAATCTGTGTGTATATTTTGCGTTGTTTTGAAACTAACCCACTATACTCTTAAGGGTGTCACATCACTAACATTGTAGATTTTTAGAGTAGCAAGGAATCTATTGGTTTCAGTCAAACACTCTTCATAGTAAAACGTTTCACTATGATGAGTATTTTTTTTTTTTTTTTAATTTTTGACTATTAAATTTTCTCCAATCGAAAAAGTACAAAAAAAAAATTATCGATGCGAATACGAGTACCATGCTCTACTACTCGCTCGCGTAAAATGAAGCTGACTGACGTATTGATATAAAATAATAAAACAGTTTTATTTCGATTCGATCGATCCGTCGATCGGTATAATAATCGATTGGTTGTACATAAATCGATTTCCACATGGAATTTTATTTTTTATTATAGCTACATTATTAGGTATAGTTCCAGAAAAAAAAAAAAAAACAAATAAAAAATTACAAACACGACATAATATTAATGTCTGAGAAAAACAAAATCGGAATTTTGTAAGTAATTTAATAAATTTAATAAAACCGATAGTTTCTTCGTTACAATCGAGGTATAATTATTGGCGCAATTAGAGGAATGCTTGGGTATGCTTAGCACGTTTATTTTTAAAATTAATACTCCCTTCAAAATTTGTCATATTATTGCAAAGAAAATATAGTTTACCGAAAGAAAAATGATTAAAACAATAACGATGGTTTATTGGTTTCGATAAATTTTCTGATTATTCCTGTTGAATATGTTAGAAATTGTCTAACGAAAATTATCTAAAGCAATAATAGAATGATATAATTTGTTATTCGTGAAGCGGTTTTTTCAAAGAAGTATACGCTTACCTACAATACGCAACGAACAACAAAAAAAAAAAAGCGGAATTCGGTGACATATTTTGAAATACCGTAATTATTACAATTTTTTTCAAAATATAATTTTAAAACGCAGTTGAAAAAAAAAACTATTGCACTAAATTCAAATTTGTTTATTAGATTACTAACCACAGCTTAACGTAATGTATGTCACGTTCAATTTTCAAGTATTTCTGTTTAATTAAGTAATTTTATTCGCCAAAAACCTACCGTATAAAAATTTCGTAAAAAACTAGCATAGTTAAAATATGATTATTTTGTAAAAACAAGTCTCTTTGCATATTTTCTAGTTTTTAAGAGAATATTATCATCATATTTCAGGTGTTTAAGTGAGTTTATATTCAGACGCTACCATAAAACTGTTTCATTTTTGTAGTTCATTATACAATATAAGTTACATTAAAATATAACATTGCATATACAAATTTATTTCTTCAACCAATAGTTAATAGGTGTAGTGCAATAGAATAGAGAGTGATATCTTATTTTTATGAACTAGGTTTTTTTTTTCTAATCAACTTCAGCACCATATATTTTTTTTTTTTAATTGAAACTGCGCCCCTGGGTATACGATCCAAGTTCGAAATAAACGTAAAACGTTACATAATATTATTTGTATACTTCGATCCCTAAACAATAATATACGTCGGGATTGAGTCTTGTGTAGAGAATACTTTTATTTTATATCCGGAACACCTATTCGAATAAATGTGTAAAAAATTATTCAAAATACAGTATTCGAATACTTTTATTTGAATACTTTATAACACAATACGTCGGTAAATAAACTACAAAAAAAAAAAAAAAAAAAAAAAAAAAATAAAAATAAATTCTATTGAGATTTATCCGATTATGTTCGATATTGCACTCTTCTGTCACGCGTCATAATTAGTTCGGTTATTCGAATATTCTCTACGGTTTAATTAGAAAATTCCCCTTAAGCACCGGCCTAAATAATAATAATTTTTTAAGTGGTTTTTATATTATTATTAGAACGTAGATTAAAACAATATTCATTAAAATTTAATTTAAAAACTATTACCAGAAAAAAAAAAATACTACATTACAGTTTACTTTATTTTATCATTAAGCACAACTTTATAAAGAACCTCCTGTTAAATTGTCGAGCATTCCTGTTCGGTCAAACAAAACTATGTCCATATGCTAACTACTAAATAAAGACTACGTAAAGTATTCATTTAGGAAATGCCAATAAAAAGTTTGACAATATTTTTAGAATATTTTGAACATTTTACCACGTCTAGAAAAGGAAAATACAAGCTTTTCTGCAAAACGTCAAGTCTCTACGAATATTTTTAAATATTTGAAAAAAAAAAAAACGACCACGCGGAAAACGACTTTCTTCAATCACCGACTAACTCAAAAAATGTAAACAAATAAAAAAGGTGACTTGTAGTTTTTCTGTTGGAGCAATATTTTTGGTAGAAAACCTAAAGCGAACTGAGGCGAAAAAACACTGCAATCGGTAACACCGTGGGGCTCGGCCGTCCGTTTTTCTTACGCGATTTGTTCTGGTTTATCATGTTTATTTTGAAAACCCTTTGGAAACGACATCATCAACGCGCTAACCTGTAGATCCAAAACAAGTGGCGAAAAACGCGTCTTGTCGTTTTTCGGACGGAGTAAGAAAAATCCGGAAGGAAAATTGCAGGAGAAAGAAAACACGCACGAAATCTAGTGAAACCTGTACATATTTTGTCGTTTCGCACAGAATCTAAAACGAAAACGAATAATGTTATAAGGTTCGGATGTGAAGAAATTCGTTGTTAGTTTCGCCCGGAGTTTCGTTACCGGCCGAAAATAAAATAAAATTTTTTTTTTACTTTTACGTGATTTTCTATAGTATTTTAATTAGGACTAAAATTAATATGGACTTAAAATCCGTAATAATAACGCTTAATTCGTCAAAAAAGTACTTTAAAATGTTTAAAAAAAGCAAAAATCCTAGACGCGTTTTTCACCCTATTAAATATATTTTTCTAATGCTGACAAATGATTAACACAAAGCATTTAATTTTTTTGTAACACGTACACATTTATTTGAAAAAAATTACTTTGAAATAAAAATATTTTTAATGTTAAAAAATGATTTATAATAAGTTAGAAACAATAGAATGGAAAATGTTAAACTCCTATACCTTTATTGCTTTTTTAACATTTTTTTTAGAGCTCCTTTGACACTTTTAAACATTTTTTTGTGAATTTAAATCCTTGCCCTAATTATAATAATACGATATCATATCTGATTATTTCGTTAGACGGCGGAAACGTACAAACGCGAGATGTGAGCCTTTTTGAGGGGCCGATTTGACAGAGCCTCGTGCTCAGTGGCGTAACCGGCGGGTAGGCCAGGTGCAACTTTAATGCAACTTTAAATTTCAATATTATTAAGTATTGATAAAAAGAAGTATTAAGAAGTCTCTCCTGTTCGAACGTTTATAGTAATTTATCCAGATAACCCAGAAAAATGTTACTAGTTACGCCTCTGTCCGCGTTCAGTCGTAATTGTGGTCAGACAATAATTTCGCACTGTTATTGAAAAAAATACGAATCGAAACCAATGGACTAAGAAGAATTAATTGTATTTTACCTACCGTAAAGGTTTACCAACGCAAGGTATTGGAAGTCGAAAAATCAAAAAAATCAAAGGCTGCCTTACTTTACACCACGGGTGGGCCACTGTTGTAGGTGAGAAGTTGGGAAGGTAGGATATATAAGAGAATTAAATTTATATCTGTATACAAGGACCAACCATATTTTTAACGAAAAACGATTCGGAGCGGTTATATACATGTTTTAAAAGACCGTAATATTTACGAATTTCGTGAAAATTTGATAATAAAATTCTTATTAAAAAAAAAAAATTCTACATTTAACTCAATTTCGTCTTGCTAAATACAAATTAAAACGAACTTCCTGTTAAACTTTCAAGCGTTTCTGTTTGGTCTAAACATGTTATCCAATAAATATATACCGAATAAAAGTTATGTAAAAACTCGCAAACTTAACATTTCTATAAACAGCATAAATATTTTTTGAAAAATGCGCTGCATCTCCAAAAATTGAATATAGGTTTTTTGTGTAAATTTTGAGCCTATGAATATTTTGAACTGAATTATTAACAAAAAGAAAAAAAAAAAATTTGAAAATATTAAAAGAATATTTTGTAAATTATTCCGTTTTTCCCGGTTGTTCTTGATTACGACGAAAACCGTTTGGAAAATCTAAACACGAGCTCCCGAAAGTACTGTCCAGATGAAATTTCAAATCTGGAAAAGCAGACGATAAGCAGAAAAGTTGTTCGCAGGCTAAAAAAAAAAAAAATAGACATCATTTTAAAACCAACACGTTTCTGGCCGCGCTCCGAATGTGAAATGAAACTTATCGATGTCCCGTTAGAATGGCCGTACGGGGCCTCGACATTTTCTAATTCGGTGCCGCGGCCCGCTCAAATCTCATCAGTCGGGTACACCGTGGAGATTTACGCGCGGAGGATTTTATTATACCGAAGAAGACGGAAAACGTTACTGACGCGAAAACGACTGGTGTTACCACTCCGCTGATGTTTTTCCGCGGTATTTCCCCCGCAATAGTGTTGCTAACAACGTATTCACGAGTCAGTCCGAAGGCGTCTGGTAATGAGTTATTGCGAGAAAATTCTTTCGCGTTCTTTGGTTTTGCGATTTTCTTTTTCTTTTTAAAATTGTTTTTATTGTTAATGTTATTGTTGTACGCCGGGCGTGTTATCTGCAGTAATTATTGTTATTGCGCGGTCGTTATTGAAACACAATAATGCAATTTAATAAATCGATAAATAACGAAAAAAAAAAAAAAAAAAAAAAAAAATTTGATATTGCGATGCTGTATTAGGTGCCTATAACGTTATAATAATAATATTATAATAGGTAATAAACACGATCGTCTTTCGAAACCGACGCTTTCGTAATCGTCATCGTCGTCCATCACACCGTATAGTCGTCATCGTTGTGCGCTGTGACGCGTAGACCGCGGGCTACGCATCGCGGAGATAAGATTTCATGATGGGTAGGGACGGGCGGCGGCGATAACGGGCGGCCCGGCCGGTATTTAAATTAGCGGCCGAGCACATCGGAAATCAGTCAGAAACCTGTAGGGTCGCCGTAACCAGTGCAGGCATTCCAATACAGTAATCGCGTTAACACAAAACCGCAAGTTCCATTACCGATTTACCAAATAAATCCGAACGAGATCCGCGTTGAAACAGCACCCAATCCGTTCGAATTCGCCCGTCGCCAGTCGCCATTGTTTAATGCAAACAGTTGCGGTAGCCCGTCAACGAAAACAAACGCAACAACCGCCGCCACAGACGCCGCAACAACCACAACAGCAGCACCAGCAGCAGTAACAACAACGACGACAACGACAACACCAACAACAATATGCTTAAAGCCAGCAGTATGTCGTCGAACACGCAAAGGTCGACTTTCGCGGAAAACCGAACGGTGTCCGTCAAGGCGCTGACAGCCAACGCGTTCCGTTTGGACACGTCGCCACTGAACCGCGACGCTTGCGCGCTCGCCGAGAAGGAACTCCGCGAAACCCCGGAACAGGTGCAACAGTCTTTGGCCGAGCTCCGAAAATATCTCAAAGGTACGTCCGTTTAACGTGGGTGTACGACTCGGTCGGGGGAAAAAAACCGCGGATTCCGACGGTGCTCGCGTTGTTTGCGGCCCGTGCGAAATAACTATCGTTGAAATCCGGCGACGAAAACAAACGCCGCGTATTCTTTACCGAACGGTCGGTTCGCTTTTTATTATTATTTTTTTTTTTTTTAACTTTTCCGTTTCTCGAGACGCCGGACGAGAACCCGAACGGTTTTCCTGCGCAACCGCCCACCCCTTACCAGCGGAAATCGCGAGCTACGATTTACCCGTCGAAATCGCGTACGATCGACGGGGGGGGGCTATAAAATATTAATGCGCCGATAGAGGTACCAATACTGGGAACTGACCGCTTTCGCCAAAAATGTACCGTTCCCTTTTCCGCCGATTCTCGTTTCCGTCAAATCATAGAATCGGTCGATTCCCTTTACTGCCAAATGAAAAAATTTAGTCTAATATTTCAATAATAACGGACGATTGTGTCATAAATTATTATTATTGTGATATAATAACAAAAATTTCAAAACGCTCACAAAAAATATTAAAAACTGTTGTAGAGGGGTGATTAAATTAAATTAAAAATATAAACACCATATTGTTTATTCTTACTTACAATAATTATAAGATATATTTTTTTGTTTTACGAAGTCGTATATGAAAATTGATGAGAACAAAAGTAAATACAAATATGCACGCGATTGTCCATTAACATTCAAATATTAGACTTAATTAAAAAAAAAATTTAAAAACTGAAAAAATAATCGACCAACCGTATGGTTCGGCGGAAAAGGGAAAGACTCGTCTTTGGCGGGAACCGGCCGTGCCCACCTACACTACAGGGTGTCCGGATAAACGGGTATTTATTGCTCGCGGGCGGAACACCCCTGTACACCGTCGTAATATTATTATCGTGTGACACGACAAATATTAGTAACACATTTGGCAATAACAATAATCAACAAATCAATTGAATAGTTATTATTCCGTCGGTGAGGAGGGGTGTTGGAGGGGTGGACCGCGTTAATAATAAATATTCCGTCGTTTCGAATGGTTGACGCCATCCGCGCATAGAGCGCGCCCGCGACCGGCGATGCGATATAATAATTATTATAATAATAACTTATTGAGGAATTCACTGGTGTATTTTTTTTTAATTACTTTTTTTTTTTTAAACGAACATTTTTTTCATTACTCGTTGATACCGTCGCCATTAACCGCGTTATCGTAATCCTATTTATCATATTAGGTATTATATCGGACGATGTGGCGATACCGCGAAAACGGCGTTTTTCTCTACCTCGTCCCGTTTCCGATGAAACGCGATTAATATAAGTACTTTTGCCCAGTACGCTTTCGTCCGTGGTAACACTCGTCTCGAGTATTCGCGATTCCGCGGATTGTTTTTTTGCCCAGTTCTTCCGAGTATACGACGATAAAATTATGTACTCGTGAAACGTTAATGTTGTACTATTGTTATAATTATAGATTGGCTTTTTTTTCGATCCTCGTGCGTTGTGGTTACGCGGAATCATTCGGATCGTAATGTTTGAAAAAAAAAAAAAAAACACTAACGCCACAGTATCGCTCTGTACGAATCAATAAACGAAAATTACAATTTTATTTTTTTTCTCACTAATTTAATTATAATACCATTATTGTAACGTAACTTTATATTATTTCTTTATCTCTTTGTTGAGCAGGCACCTTATAATGTTGTGTAGGCACCCATATCACGGATAACGCGCGGGTTTGTTTGACGAAAAAAAAAAAAATAATAAATAAATAACCTTCTGTGTGTTAATATTGTAATAATATAATAAACGATAACAACGATGATATAATATTATATTATTACCTACAATAATAATTCGATAAAATCCGTATTCTGTTTGTTATTGACGCGCGTGTATTGTACGCGCGTTGTAAAACTCTATTACATTACATTATAACGTTATTATTATGATGTGCTAAAACGCGGTTACTTAAAAAAAAAAAAAAAAAAAATCATCAATTTATTTCGCCGTACAGTTATTATTATTTTTTTGAAGGGCATCATCGTCCGTATTTATTAGACATTAAAAATAAAAAAAAAAAAAAAATAAATTTTCGTGATAATACCAGCGCGAAATAATATCGTAATGATAATAATTCGCGTGCGAATAATAGTAAATAGAAAAAAAAAAAAAACCGCAGCGTTTTAATGTACCGGCGAATACCGCGAGGACGGCCCGTTAAAATTTCACGGCGAGTCAACGAGGTTTTTAGCTTTTGACATTCGAACGCATATTGTTTTCCGTCCGCGTATAAAATCACGACACGACAGATCGAGTAGTGGGACTCTACTCGGTTACGATAATGGAACTTACACGTTAGAAATTTATCGTCGTTATTTTCAAAACAAAAAATTAAAAAAATTAAATCAAATCAAATTTACTCAACTCGATCCCCGAGTCAACGTAATTATGACGTATCGATTTTCGAAATATCAACTTTTTCCATAAACTCGGTTTGATTTCCATAAACTATTAAACTTTTAAACCGTGTTAATTCGTTAACTTATAAAACTGTACGTGTTGATATCATTCACGGACTCGTTCAATTGGACAGTTCATTAAGCCGTTTCGCATTTGGAAACGCGTGTTTCGTTCCGCCATTCGCCGTATAATACACATTATTAGGCGTATCCTTTTAGCGCTGTCGATCATCTCGGTTTTTTTTTTTAAATCGCCGTACAGGTTCCTCTATGTGCAACCTAACCTAACCTAACCACTTCGCAGTCCGAGACATTTTTAGTGTTGCGTAAAGATAACTAAAAATGTATCTAGATAAATATAAAAGATAATTAGATACGATTTATCTAGATAGAGATAAAAGATAAAACACTATTTAATTTGGGGGGGAAAAAAAGACAAAATTGATTTATTTTTATTGATTAGTCTAAAATTTGTTCGTCAATTTATACTAGATTTTACCATCTACAATTTCTATTAGAATTTAGAAATAACATAAATTAGCTACCTGGATTGTATTATTACCTATTACTTTACGTTTTGAATTTTGTTTCCTATTTGTACAATGTTGGTTTACTAAAAAGACTTGGGATAAACTTGCAAGTTCAATTTTTTGGATTTCTCGGATAGCTGCATACATAAATTTATTTGTCTATATGAATTATGTTAGATAATTCAATTATTCAACTAAGATAATTCATCAGATATTAATTTTGTCTATCATCTAGATAAGATAAAAGATAATTAATTCTAAATTAATCTAGATAATTTATTTAGATAATTTATCTTGATAATGCTCAACACTGATCATTTTAACGTTGATTTTCCCCGTCTTCCTCGTCCCCGAGTTGGCGCAACTAGGGGGTTGATAGAAGGTCTTTAGCACCCTCCCGGTTTTAAAATTAGTATCCCTGAAAGAACCCAATATAAGGTTTTTCATATAGTAACGGTTAAATATTGTATCCATGTATTTCATGATTGACGAGCGGAACAAATTACTGATTTCTTACAATGCGCGCGCGCGTGTGTGTGTACGAGAAATAATATTATAATAGTTCTGATAAATTTTGTAAATAAAATGTGTAGTTGCTCGTTGCAAGAGTCGTGCAAAGGAGGATTGCGAGGGCATAGCCCTCGTGGGTGTCTTTGATGTGTTCATAATTTTAGCACCTCCAAAGTTGGTGGTCTAGTTGTGCCTATGCATCCCTGTCAGCAAACCGTTTTTCGTTTTTCTTCGGATGAGCGTTTCGCGATAATCTGCTACAGTAACATAACCGGACGTTCAATAGTACATTTCGAAATATTTCGATTTTCGTTTAATTTTATTTTTTTATCATCAGAGTTCCGCGTTTTCGACCCGCGGACAGTCCCGCCGCCTGTTTGTTATGATTTTTTTTTATTAATTTATCATCAGTATATTAAACAAATAAAAATATAACGTTCGTTTTACAGAGAAGGACACGCTGTTGTACAAAGACGCCGATGAATATCTGATGATATTTTTGAGGCCGACCAAATTCTACGTGGAGAGCGCATACAATTTGGTAAGTCGTAATATTATACAAATATTCGCGTTCGTTATCTTTCGCCGCGTTTGATAATAATATTGTTGTTAGCCGATTGCGTGCTTTTAAGACCGAACGCTTCCGCATTCCCGACTTCTGCAGCGGCGTCCTTAACTCGTCGTTTTGTAATCTATCCGACCGTACCTTTCGTCACGGCCGTCATCCGGGTTTCCGTCCAGCGCTATCAGTCCAATAATTACGGGTTCACAGGCCCACGGGTTTCGACTGTTCTCGATTTTTTTTCGTCCGATTTCGTGTCGGCCGGTCCTAATCGCACGGGGCGTGGAAGTTAGGGGTTATATATCCCCCCCCCCTTCTTTCGATAGGCTTAGAAACACTACAACAACAACTACGTGTGGTGCATTTTAATTAATTTCGTGCTGAAATCGTTACACACGTACCTATCTACAGATTTCGGTCAAATTACGGGAGAGGGGGGGAAAGCTCGAGATTCAGCGATTGTTCGGTCCGGCCATTTTAAACGTCGCGGTTTACAACGGATACCCGTGATAATGCAGACGAAGATCCCACGTGATTTAAAACGATAATATTCGCGATCGTTTTGTTGAAAATCCGCTATACGTTGGCTTCCCTCCCGTCGAAAACTTTTCCGGGCACGTCGTCGCCGCGGGGTCCGACTGGAGCGTTGTGGTTAATATTTCGGTAGAAAAAAATAAAAAAAAAATTATAAAAAAATACGCCGATATTCGCACAACGACACCAATAACGAAATCGTATCCGAACGTAACGGGGTGCTGTATATGAGGCAGAGATAACGAAACCGAACGACGATCACTCGACGTTATTGTTATCGGGTTTTTGGCCCGCGACGAGTGTAAACCGGTCAAACGACGACAATAATAATAACAATAATAATAATAATATAGCAGTCGATGAACATTTTATACGATTATTATGTTGATTTTCACGACGATAAGTACAACAGGAACGACAACCCCCTCCCCCCCACAACCCCTCCTCTTCCCGATCGATTTATCGTGATAATAACGATATTACACTATACGAGTTACAGGACGTACTATAATAACTCGTCGTAACCGCGTATAACGCGACAGCATAAATAATTCATGACGTGATATTACCGTTGTTATCATTGCGCGGTGCAGTGCAGTGCGGTTCGGTGCAGTGCGTATACAATATTATCATTACACGCAGGTATCGAACTGCACATAAATAAATAAAACGGCGCGTAACTCGCGTCGTATAGCGACTCCAAACAAAGTCCGCGCGTGTTGCGTAGTTGAACGTAATATTTTTCGCTAGGCACAATCGTTATCCGTAAATCGGTTTTTTTTTCGCAATATTTTTTATCTCACCGCCGATAATGCGCCTCGTATACAATATCGTGCGGTGCGTATTGGCACTGCCGCACACTCCTCCGCGAGTGCATCTCGAATGCGTCCCATACATTATCATTGCATACCGCGTCTAGACGGGTGTTATTATTTTTCGTTTTTTTTTTTTTTTTTTATTTCCCCTCGCGTTTCCCGTGTTCTAGTACCGAATCGCACGCGACAAACTCGGTATCGGTTCCGGACTAATGCCCCGACTCGAAAGTTCTCATCCCGCTATCGCAGATTTAACGGTTTAATGACGGATTGAAATCACAACAACGACACAAACAAAAACATAAATGAAAACCAGCGTTCCCGTGAAAAGATATTGATACCTAATGACGTCGGAGCGATCTACCAGATATGAATTTTCGTCAACTAAAAACCGCTCTGAACGGAGGCCGGATTTACAGACCGTATCCGACCCAAGTGTTTAATAGATACGCTAACCGTCGCGGTTTTTCGTCGACCAGATCTTAGGTTTGCGCTCGGCAGTCCCTCAGGGCGTTTTGAGGTTCGGACCGATAGGCTTGACTATAGGCCGTGTTTTGTAAAACGTCTAAAATCTCCGTGAACCCTTTAAAACCCATTCGCGGTTACGTCCGGACGGTTTTCCCCGTCACTTTAGGCATGGGAAAACCACGAGAAACGAGCCATTTTGAGATTTTTGATCAGACCGCTAATATAATATAGTCTTCTGGTCGAAAACGATGTAGTTCACAGATGAAATTAAAGACAGTAATATATTACAATAAACGATAACAATAATTACAATATTGTGTACCGTATGGTTTTAATGAGTTATCGAGTTGAAATTGAAAAAAAAAAAAAAAAAAAAATGCGGACTTCGAAAATCCGTGTACTGGCTAATTATCGTCAATAACGTGCCTTGATTATTGCCCGACTATTATAAAACAACAAACAAAGGAGACTAGACGATAACCCGCTGCTGCACAAACACACACACACACACACACACAAACACACACACACACATACACACACACACACACACACGCGCGCGCGCGCGCGCCCACGCACATAGGTATACATAATTAGACCGTATTTAATTTGATCCGGCAGTATATTAACGAACAATTAAAGGCGTCTACAAACCGAACAATAATAATAATAATAATAATAATAATAATAATAGTAATAGTAATAATAATAGTATTTGAAACGATTGACTGCGATTATATTTTTCGTTCTTTAATCCGCGATGATATTAATGCGATCGGACGCGGCCTTTTCGTTTTGCAGATGAAACGTTTGGCCGATTTCAAAGAGAAAAACAACAAAATCATCGGCAATCCGTTGCCACGAGAGGAGAAGAGACTGTTCACGGAAAACAACGTCGTCAACGTACTGGTGGACCGGGACCAAAAGAACAGGAGAGTTTTAATCCTCAACATGGGATGTAAGTAATCGTGCTGCAGATTTTACGTCGAAATTCAATGCATTTTATCTTCGAGACTTTTGGATGATTTTATCGGCTCCCTTTTGGACCGAAATGAGCTCGAAATCGGAACACGCATTTGTTTTTTGATTGAAATGATACATTTTAAAATTCACGTTCAAAATCAATACAAATGTTACCGTGCCTTTGGCGGAAGAGAACGTTTTTTTGGCTTTGGCGCTCCTACAGACCTCTCTCCCCAGAATGAAGACAGGGGGGATGCAATTTTTTGGACTATCAAATTTCACTATTTTTTTTTTTTTTTTTTAACTTGTATATAATAATTGTACGGTATTTTAGCGTTCGGTTATTTATTGTTTTACGAGAAATATTTCTTTGATACAGAAAAAAAAGTAGGGCGAAGAGGAACAATCAATAGACTTTAGCGCAAAAATATCGCTACGTTTGCAAACCATTTTCCGTGGGTGTTACGAATTCAAAATCAAAATATAATCAAAAATCAATATATAATATAAAGGCACCTAATTCACAATATTTAGTAGTTCTAGTCAAACGACTACGCCAGTCTGTTCGGAGAACGTAATTTCAGCTTTTGTGTAACCTAACGTTTATAAGAAAGTTTCGCGTGAATTGAGAAAATTACGAAACAGGGGGTTTTTTTTTTCGCTGTTTGAAATCTGTTTGCTCGTAAAACAAACAACGCCGCGGAAAAAAACCGCGGTTAAACCATTTTATTGGTCGACATCTGCCCTCCGCGTCCAATGATAATCCGTATGTCATCCACGTGCATTATTGGAATATAACCTATAGATACGATGTACACCTTTAAAATGGAATAAAGGTCACCGCCGTCGTCTAAGTAGGTATAGTATTATCTAGGTCATGGTTGGGTTTTTTATCGGTAACCGTTTTTAACTTATTTCAGTTCTCTCACCTTTTAACGTGGTGTGATTATCGAATATAATAGACTTTTGCTGTACTTTCTCCCGTCGCGTTGTGTACCTAAATAGCCTTGACTTCCGGACGGGGGTTTATTTTTTACACCGTTGTCGTCAGGAATATAGACGATCAGCGTCGCGGGAAATTTCCGAAAAAAAAAAAAAAACCAACCTCCCGTATGCTAAAATCCTTTTCGAAATTCTACGAGGAAGGGGTCCAATTTGTGTCTTCTAACAGAATATACAGCCGAAAGAACAAAAACAGCTACGTGCACAAAAACGATTAAATTAAAAATACAGTTTACGGTTTATACACTCAAACACGATAATATTGTGCCTACTTCCATCTACAGCGCATCATGTTATCAATATTTTTAACCCGCAGTCTGCTGCTACCGTAGGTTTCGATCTTTTAAATCGATAATAACAATAATAATAACAATTGCGGTTTTTCAATTTCTATTACTCGCAAAGGATTTATTTCGAATATTGTGTCATCAACGGTTCTGCATCGTTTTCCATTTGACGGGTTTCGTATGAAATGTACACTTACTATCACAAACGTTCATCTATTCTATAATATATTATGTACAGTGCAACGAATATTCTCACTGTTGTATTAGTGTATCTATGAGCCGTGGAAAAACTAAAAAGCCGTTGACGATTTCGAATTAAAAAGTTTTTTTTCTTCTTCAGCTGCTTGGGACCCAAAAAAGCTCAATAGCGAGGAGTTGTTCAAAGTCCTATATCTGATCCAAGTGGCCGCGCTCGTCGAAGAAGAGACTCAAGTCCGCGGTGCGGTGATCATCATAGATTTCCACGGATTGTCTACGAAACAAGTTATGGCTATGTCACCGTCGTTCGCTATGACGTTGCTTCTGTACATCCAAGTAAGTTTCGGAAGTGTACACATAACTATAACAATAGTGTACTTGCTGTACCCAATTAACGAATTAATTTCATTTGTATTAAGGAATCAATGCCGCTGCGTTTGAAGGAAGTTCACATTGTCCGTCAGCCGTTCTTGTTCAACATGGTGTGGCCTATGTTCAAACAATTCGTTGGCGACAAGCTTAAGAAACGCGTAAGTATAATAACTATACCAATATCTAGTATATGATTCAAGCATATAACATTCTCTCCCATTATTTCTTTTTTCTTCTTTGGCTACTAGAGAAGAAGGAGCCTCCCCGCAATTATGATCCTTATCTATCCGTTGATTTTTCTCTCCGGTTCGCACGTTTAACAAGTAGGTAATTTCCTACATTTTCTAATTGGATCTTCCCATCTCGGTCTGTGTCTTTTTAGAGGTCTTTTCTGCACAGATTCGGCTCTATCATCGCTTTGATTAGCTCAAATATTTCTTAGTGGTCCTGATTTCTTTCCCTAAAGGATGCCCGAGCAATTTATTTTTTAATTGTCTACTAGTTATTTTTCTCCCGCGAAATTGCGAAATATTTCGTGTTGGCCGACGATAATAATATTAATAATTGCGGCTTTTCAGTTGTTCTTCCACGGTAACAAAATGTCGTCCCTTCACAAGCACTTGGACGTTAACATGCTGCCCGAAGATTATGGTGGCAAAAAGCCAAAGATGACCTACTCCAGCTCCGATTGGTATCCAGTGATCCAGGACCTCCAGAACTATATTGCGGGTACGTCGAGATTAGCTTGTGCTAACTAGCCTGGCTTTCGTCCTTTCGTTATCAACATTGATGACGAAAAGTTGTATTTACGTTATAATATTGACGATATAATGTTTTTAGATTGGAACACATACGGATTGAAACATTGACGGGGGACATGCGATACGGAAAACGGCTCATCGGATTATTCGGTTCAACCTATACAATAATAATGATTATTCTTTATAACACTTACGAAATCAAAAATTAATTCTACTTATAAATATAATTTTTCGATGCGATAGTTGTTTTATACATGGGTCTATACATAGATTTAATGAATTTTTATATTATAATAATAATTGGTGTCACTATTGGGCTATATAATATTTGTTTGTAGGAAAACGACACGGTTTTCATTTGTTACGTATCTGTGGAATTCAAAATATATTTACGATATTTATGCACTTTTATGTTGTCATATATTTTTTACGTTCTCTCACGATTATATCAATCCAAAAGCGATTTTACACTGCCGTTAAAATGCATACGAAAATCACAAATCGCCATATAGTTACCATATTCTGTTTTTCTTTCGACCATTAAAATAATGCGGTTCTTAATTATGGGTACCTAAACGAAACTGATAATTTCTCGACGAGTCAAACATACAATATGCAGTAATCACATTTAAACAATGTGACATGTATTTATATACCTATATACCTTAATACTTAATGCGGTTTAATATTTCTTTAGTTTTTGTTTTTTAAATAACTATTTTTTTGATATTATTAATTTTTCATTTAAGAGCATACATGTTACCTATAGTTTTTTTTTTTTTTTTTTTTATAAAATCGTAGTTTTATAAGACGTGTTTTTGACACATTTTTTTTTTGTTAAACGATTATTTATTTTGTAAGATTATACTATTATTTTTTTAACATTTTCTTTTCGAATTTTTGACGAAAATTTAACAGTAAAAAAAAATAATTACTAATAGGTCGGTGTAAAATGAATTAACAACTGTTTTACCTTATTATTATTTCGAAATAAAAATTAATTTACAATTCATTCATTACTTGTTGTGTATTTATTTCATCATCGTCATGCAAAACTTACCGGACTTTCAAATTCCATCATAAACATCTCTTATTCTTCTCTATTAAATGTTAAATTTATACCTGAACTCTTTCGTTCAGTTTAAACTAATATTCATCTTCTAAGTATATATTTTATGTATTATACTTAAATCTTCTTCTTCCACTTTATTTCATAATCTCATTTCGTTGATCTTCGACGATAGAAATAAAATAATTGAAATTCATTTGTTCAACGATTATTTACGATTGTTAATAATATTTTGTACAAAACTGATGCCACAAAATATTTTCTCTATGCGATTCAGAATGATAATGGGTTGTAATTAAAAATGAAAAGAACACGTCGGAGTCAATAAAAATGCGGTGATAGAAACAGATGGCAAGGATGAGTTGAATGGAAAGTGATAGTGGTGGCAGAAACTGACAGGAATGGAGCACTAAATATTGGCGTTAGAAAAAGTTGAACAATTAAAATGGGTGGGGACATGTATGTTAATAAAGGAGTGTTATAGTTATATTGTCGGAGAGAAACGTGGTTAGGCTCATACATCTTAGAGACGTCGTGGGCGACCCGTCCTCAGGCTCATTCCGCCTTTGCTAGTCGAACTGCATAACATCTTTCTAGATAGTATGATAGAGGGCAAGAGAACAGCAGGACGACCCAGCAACTCCTTTATAGAACAATACAAAGTAAGAGCTGTCTCATACGGAGGTCTAAAAATATATTGGTAATTGTTTGATTTAGGTGGGAAATCGTAATAACTCTAAACAAACGTACGGATTTAATATACAAAGAAGTAAAAATCAAAGTAAAAATGACGATACATACGCATTTTAATAATATGATTTTTTCAAGAAAATTTAACGTACTGGTTTATCATATTTTACCAAAATAAATTATAACCTATACAGTAACCATCACTCGTCAAAAAACTAAAATATAAATTTTATGCTAGCTGCTCCCAGTGGCTTTGTTTGTGCGGCCCATGCGCATTATCGAATGGAAAAATAAATCCAAAATATAAAAAAAAACCTGTCATCCTAAGTTTCCCCGTCACTCCTTGTTTTCACTCCCGTAACAGTTAACAGTTGTTGTTCAGTAATTTAATTTTTATTAAGGATTTATTCTTGCAAGAGACGACAACCAAATTAACCAATAAAAAAGTTTGTTTTTTTTTTTTTAACCGCGGTACCAAGGTTAGTCATAATTAATAAAAATAATTCAATTTTTGTAAGAAAAAATACCAGAAATCTCGGATTAATACACCCATTAGAGGTTGAATTTCAGATATCCACTTCTGCATGTCAATTATCAGACATCTGTGTATGATAGATTTGGATGAACATCGGGCCACAGATAGATAAACACACCTCACACAGCCACTTTATTTTATAAATATAGACTAAGATATTTATAACAACGTAATGGTATACACTAAAAGTATGTATCAACTAGATCTTCTTGTTTAACGTATACACGCTTTCATGGATTCACGTGAAATTAACATTCGAATGTACAAATCTGTGTTAATCAACTTATAGATATCGATGATAATTATTTTAAGTCAAAATTTGTAATTCTTTTCTTATTATATTCTTTCTAATTATAATTTGAATTATTAATCATGCTAGTTTGCGTTTATGTGGGGTGTATCAGTGGAAGTAAGAGAAAAGATCGGGTCAGGAACCCGAACATCCGCATACATTTCCAAAAGACCCTGAACTTAGACAAATTTCGATTAAACAAATTGTAAGGCACAATAATAAAAACGATGATAACAATATAAATGTGTTGTGTGTTTACTACATTTTTCTCTACACTATAATGCAGAAAAATTATATGCACAACAACAACTTGTTGCATCATACATTCCAAAATGTTTACAAAGATAAAAGCCAGATGCTATACCGATGACGTTAGTCTTCTTTTCACCTTCGTTTTGATATGTTAATTGGGGTTAAACAAGTTTTACTTACTTTTTTGTAGTAAATATGGATTAGAATATGACGATACGCCATATGATCGATTGGAGTAATTTTTTAATTATTTACCAGAACGTATTATAACGTGTTTACAATCATGACAAAATAAAAATATAACAAAATATTTTGTCATGATTACAATATGTTAAGAGAAAAATTGATAATAAACGCAAACCGACCGCCATTTTATGCGTATCAAATATATTGCTTACATACCTGTTTTTCATGGTATTTAATATACGCGAGTAAACATTTTTCATTCGCGTTTTCGGTTTTCACGTACGTATTAATTCACGTATGAAGGGGATTGCAAACGGGGATTTTCTGTATTTACCTTACACTCGTGTAAAATTTTACGTGTGTTTAAGACAAAAACAGAGAACCCCTCTTAATCAAGACCTCTAATATTAACAAATATAATAATAGTATACATTCTACGTACATTCTAAAACCGTATATCAAACATATTTCAAGCAACTAAATATTATATGACTAATACTTAAATAAGATAGGTACTAAATTAAAAAAAATAATAATAACAATGTCCATCATTCATCATCATCTAAATAACGATACTACTACAGACTATAATATAATGTCATAGTTCATACGTCATCAAACTTAACGGTCGTTCAGTTCTAAAAGGTCTAAAATAACTGGCGTTTAAAATAATAATTGTTTTACAGTAGGTATTTATATATTTTTTTTTTTTCATAAAAACAATACGCAATTAGTAAATTATTATTTATTATATAAAGACTATATAATTTTAGAAATAAACGTATTTCAAACACGCACACATTGTGTGCGTTTGATTTAATCTTGTTTTTTTTTAAATTTCGGGAATTTTTTAACCGCGTTATGTAATTTATCTTTGGCTTCTAACGCCTTTTCAGCCGCCCCTCCTCCAGGTATTAAGCTCAATATGTAATTTTCTACGTTTTTGGCCACTTCGCTTTTTTCTAATGCATCTTTCACATTGGAATAGGGCGATTTCCCGTCGTTCGATTTGCCGAGTAAAGAACCAACGTTTGGCACGCTATTATACGCGTTCTTTGCCATATCGTTGAGTTTGTTAAGAGGTCCGCCTCCACTGCCCGCGTTATCACCGCCACCACCTTCACCGTTACCCTTGCCGAGTGCAGAAGCAATGTTGCTTACGTTCGGCACGCGGTCGTATGCTTTCTTTGCCATATCGTTGAGCTTGTTTAAACGCCCGCCTCCATTGTCTGCAGCGTCGTTTCCGGTGTCCCCAGCATCACCGTTGCCTTTGCTCTTGCCGAGTGATGAACCAATGTTGCCCAAGTTTGGCACGGACCCTAACGCTTTCTTAGCCAAATTGTTAAGTTTATTTTTATTTTCACCGTTGTCATTTTCCGATTCTTTTTCGTCTTCGTCATCCGTACCATCCATATTACCAGCGCCTCCTAGGCCTCCCATGCCCATTAGAGCCAATAACGGAGCTGTACCTTGGACTTTTTGGAGTAATCCTCCAAGATTGAGATCGGGCACAAACTTGCCCAATAAATACTTCCAGCGCGGTACGATTTTATAATTGCCGGTACGTCGTTTTCTCATTTGTCTTTCCAGATCGTTGTTAACACGAACATTGTTTCCGGTGTGGATGTATGCACGATGTTCAAAAGAATAAGTTAAACTTGGCGGCAAAATACCGGTGTTCAAGTAGGTTTCACATTCCGCAGGCGTCAGTACTTGACTTAATGTTTTCACGGTGTATCCCTGAAATGAAATGAAATCGATGTATACGAGGTTATATAGTTGCTGGATTGTTTTTAATGTAAATACAGTGAACACGCGAATAAAAATAATATGAAAAGAGATGATACTGGGAACGGGCGTGCCACTGTTGTAGATGAGAAATTTGGAAGGTTGGGTACATATAACGTAATTTAATCTTGTATCTATAACCAGAGTGGGGTAAATTTTATTCCGTTATTTACCTATTCGAATAAGAAATCATTCAAATTATTTTTTATTCGTATAATTTTCAAACATAATCACTCGAATAATGTACGTTTTTTTTATTTGATTGAACATTGGTTGGTAATTTAAAATACGTAAATATAAAGAACAATAGTTAGCCTTGTAATATAAAATATACCCTCTTTGGCTCCGACAATATTTTTGTATAGAGCATAATATTATGTTCGAAAATTACTCTAATAATATAAGTTTTGAAAATTATTTGACTTTGTGTATAACGTATTGAAAAAAACGAATATAAGAGTTCTGTCTGAAATTTAAGTCTCTACAAATATTTTTTACTGAATTACATTAAGAAAAAAAATTAAAAATTAAATGAAATATTTTCGTACATTTTTCCGTTCTCTCTACTTTAGTACGAATAATTTCGGGTTTTCTCAATTATTAAATAAACTACCACGAACATCAAAAAATTAATTTTTCTGTCACCAACAAGAAAGATCAATTGTAGTTTTTCTATTTGAACAATATTTTTGAAAGAAAACGGAAATCATATATGTTTAAATTAATGAAATTGTTGAGCCGTTATTTAAAAAAATCTTATTTTTCGTCCTTTTTGAGTTTCCCGATTGATGTGACTTTCTTTTTTGAAAGGCTACATACTAAAAGGAACCAAATCAATCATTTATCATTTTTCAATTGAAGCAATATTTTTAGTTGAAAAAATCCTCTACAAAAATTAACGCGGTGTGTCGTAAATATTTGCCGTTTTACCCATAATTTTTTTTCGAGGTTCTCCAAATTATTTTGAAAATGTCTTAGAAAACCGAAAAATGACCTTCCAATTCCTTCACCAACCTTCTCCAATCAAAGAATATTATATTTCCGAAAAGGTGCAACACTCTGACTCTATACTGTAAATACGCTCATCACCAAACTCTGAATTTAAAAGAAAAAATAGCCGGTACTGTGGACGGGTGTGGCCTGCACTGTCGTAGGCGGGTAGTTGGGAAGGTGGGATACATTAAGTTATTTAATTTATACTTGTAGCCAGTGGTTTAGTCAAGCATATACGCTGGTATAAGGCGTATAGATATTTCTTGGTTTTTTGACAATACGTGTACTCAAAACTTTTTACTTGACACGCGGGTATACGCTTACAGAAACGCGCATACCTAGTTATTATTCGCGTACAAATCTTGTTTATTATTAACTATTATCAAAAAATTGTACATCGATACATGTTATCACAATGATTCAACGATGTACAAAAACAGACAGTGACCTTTTTATTTTTTTTTGGCTCCAAACTGTTGCTGATGACAAAGGCTGGGAACGTAATGCTCTTAAATGTACCAAATATGTATGCATTTGTATAAAATTCCTTTAAAATAGTGACTGGAACCGAATCTGAAAGAACCGGTTTTGGAACTGGAACTTTTAAAATTTTAAGATTCGGAATACCGAAACCTTTATTCAACTAAACAAAGTAAACAGAATCAGAATTTTTGAATTAAATATGTTCTTTTACGTTCCAAAATAAAATAATTTCATTTACATAATTTATTAGTATTACTATTTTGTGTATGAAGTATAAGCTATAAAATATAAATAGTTATTATCGATTTTTACAGATATAAATGATATTTCATTTATCATGTTATTACATGATATATTTTACCTTCCCAACTTCTCACCTGCAACAGTGGCCGCTCCAATCCCCAGTATCAGCTCTTTGTTTACAATTATTTTCTTTCATGGAATAGTTAAGTAATAATTACAATACAATATGTAGAATTATGATAGTAAATATTTTATAAAACATTTGAATACAATTTTTTTGGACAAATAGCTCGAAAAGTTCAACACTAGATATCGCACAACATATGACACAACACTGTGTGTCATACAAAAAAACCCGTTGTTATTATTTTAAGGAACCGTCCTATAGTGGCATTTGCCGTATCTGTCTATTTAACGGGCAATATGGTAATATATTTTTAAAATGTTCACGTTAAACAACAAAAAGTCTTTAAAATCAGCTATTTTAGACGTGGCACGTAGCTAAGAATCTATTGGTTTTACTATGTGTAATTTTTTTTTCTTGTGACTATATACAACTTTTTTTTATTAAAAATTTTGCTCCGGTTGTGTAAAGTGTAACATCATTTCTGAAAAGAAATTTCATCTTGTCGATGTGTTGAGAAGGTCATTTTGTGATATTCCGAAGGGTTTTTGTAAATGATTGGGGAAAAACACGAAAGAAAATTATAGGAAAAACGATAAATATTTACGGCATTCCTCTGCATTACCAATTTCATTGCTTTAAACTTTTACAAACGATGTTTTCTACCGGAAACATTACTTTAATTGAAAAATGCTTAGAGATCTATTTTATTGTGTTTTAGATCATCTTGTTGTTCTCGAAATAAGTTGATTTTTAGTTTTTCAAGTAGATTTCAGAATAGTTGGAAAAAACCGGAAAAAGACGACCAATTAGAAACGAACAAGTTTACGACGTGTAGCATAAGATTTAATTACGGGCGTAAAAATATAAATAATAAACTTTATTACAAATATTGACCTTTTTTTTTTTGAATTTCATTATAATTATAATTTATCTTTTCTAATTCGTTACTGCGTCACAAAAATTACCTTGAATGTCGTTGCAACTTGCAGTGTCAATTGTTTACTTTTCTATTCAGTTTTACCACGGGTTTGACCTTCGTTTATATATATATGTACAAGCGTATACCTTAGACTAACACATTTTTCTTGCGCACTACCATTTACACCTTTTTCCGGTAACTTTTTTCCAAGACAATTTATAATTTTGGTAACATTTTTATTTGTACAATAAAAATATAATATACATATGGGAAAGTATGAAAAAAACAGATACATTTATTTTACGGCGCGCTGTGGTAATTGTACAGATTGCGTTATTTTAAATAAGAAAGATTTATGTTTTTTCCCGGAAATCCTATTCCATTCAAAAAAGTTAAAGAGACACTTTCCGTAAATTTTAATGAAAATCGTAAATATTACGACCTTTGAAATCATATATATATAATCGAACATCGAATCTGAATCGTTTTTCGTTAGCAATGATTAATCGTTCTGTACGAAAATGAATTAAATTCCCCTCTATATTCTACCTTCCCAACTTCTTACCAATAACAGTGTCCCACCCATCGTGGAATGTATGTCCGTCTTTTTTCTTTAAGTAACTACTGATTTTTAATAAGGCCGTGGTTATACATTTTAGAACAGGAGACCCGGAATCATTTCGGTGTCTCGCCGGACAACTCCGCTCCGGATTCTCAGATACATAATATATAGGGCAGACGGAAAAATAATCAATCAAATAACAGAAGGAAGAATAATTAAAGGCAAAAGACTCTTTTGTAAGTCCTGATTGAGATGAAATGACGTTATGGAAAAATACTTGGACCTAAGGCCAATGGAGAATATAGCGGTGACCGCAATAAGATTACATGGTACGTTAAGCTGTTTAGGTAATAAAAATATTTACTTTGGAGTGACTCTGAAGTGTATTGTGTTCGGCAGTTTTACTCGTTTCCTGTTAATTGTTTTGGGTTAGTGATTTTGTTATTTGGTATAAGTACGGTGATTATTTTGGTCACGGGCCGTGAAAACCTGGAATCGAAAAACGCGCAAAAAACGTATTTGTACGGATTGTAAACACTCGGACTGCGGTTTTACCGGAAATCTTATAAACCCGGATTGTATGTTTTCGGGGGGGGGGGGGGGGAGGGAAAGCCACGGACCGTATAATTCCGAAAAACCGGTTTTTTCCGATCCGTAATTAAGAACCGAATTTCGTGAAAAACATACATCGGCAGTTACACGCGTACCGTTCGCTAGTCCCGATCGCTTATCGGCAAACCCCGTACAGACTGTACGTCTATGTCATAGAATCTATAAGACACTCGTTATTTCGGAAAATATTAATTTTTTTCGGATTTTTTTTCGACAACTCGAGAAATTAGTAGCTCTAAACAGTCGCGTTACCATTATTTCAGTCACTCTTATATTATTTAATATTTTCGCGGTTAAAAAAAAAATCCTTTCGATTTTTAAACGATCTCGTAATTGTTTTTAATAACTAATATTAAGACCTGTTGGAGCTAGTCTTGTGAATATTCTCATTTTATCATCAGTATATTTGCTGAAACCCGTTTTGGGGGGCGGGGGGGGGCAGTGGCATAACTAGGAACAAATAATAAAAGAAATAAACACCATTGCGAAACAAAAACATCCGTCGTTCCGCTACGAGTCTAAAAACGTGATTAAGGCAGAACGATATACGGGCATTGTAAGGTTTGGTTATATGTGCCCGGTCGTGTATATCCGAGAATGCAAAAAAGGGTACAAATGTATTCAAAGATTCCGAGGTTATACGGTTAGTGATTAATAATTTATTTTCCGACAATATGCAGTCCGAGCGTTTACGATCCGGGAACAGACAAACCGTACATATACGTTGTGCGTATTTTTCAATTCCGGGTTTTCACGGTCCCGGATTATAGTTCTCAAATTTTTTGTTTCCGAAAAAATACAAAGCGAATGTATACATTCCGGAAACATGTAATCCGTACAAATACGGTTTGAAAATAAAAATTTCGGAAACCAATATTCCGTACAAATACATTCCGTGTTTTTACATGCGTTCTCTAGGACCACCCCGTCTCACTACCAATCTCCCTGCTATCAATCGGCTCGTCAGCCCATCGCCAACATTTCACGATTCGGTGCATTTCCAGAAGCTTCTATATCCCCCATTTATACTACGACTTCCCATCTCATTCTCAGTCTGCTAAAAGTTATTTTATCTATTAGGTTATGTTTCGGCCCGGAACAGAACTCTTTCAAAATCTGCCCCTAGTATATTTAGTTTCGGCTTCTCCATTCACGTCCAGCCAATTGTAGTCTTCCTTATTCCACAGTCTCTAAAGTATTCATTTATCAACACGTTATCTGTATGTATACGTGTTTTTACTCTTCTTTACTGATCCAAAGGTCTCATACGATAGTTTTCTTTTGAGTATAGGTATCAAACATTTATTTGCGTCTGTTGTATGCAGTATAGCCAAGTTTCAGTTCCGAACAATATTATTGGTATTAAGGTAATATAAATCTGTTATTTATTTGCAATCCCCTAAAAATTTCTAAAATATCACGCGAAAATAAACAAACGAAATAGAATAACTACCTCCCTGACCGATTATACGCGTATTATAATATGCACGCGTGGGGGTTTGGTACCGGATATTAGATTCAACGGAAAAGCATTTTAATTAAAAACAAAATGAAAATACAACGAAATAAACGGCAGTAAGGCAGACCGTCCATATCCGAAAGACGACGCAGGAAATCTCAACCTCCCCCCCCCCGGCCGTGAAATACTGGTTTAAATTATGTTTTTTTAAAACTACACGCGTTCAGCGAAAAAAATCCTAACTACAGAACTATCCGTTTTTCAGTAAGTATGTACGACTTCGACAGACAAATGAAATAATAGGTAATTCAATATTTTGTTGTTTTCAAGTATTGCAGTGAATACTTACTACGATTACCGAGCAAAAACATTTAAAACCGAAAATGCATTGTTCAAAATAGGTTCTGTCGACCATTACGTATATACATGTATACAGGGTAATTCACTTAGCGTGCCCACCCCATTTTTTCGGTTAAATTTTGGATGTATTCAAATTCTGATTTTTTGAATTTAAATGTATGTACAATTTAATCAAAAAAAAAAAAAAAAAATGGGTTAAGCACACTTGGTGAATCACTCGGTATATATGTATATTATTAAAATATTTTCCGGAACGCGTTTTGGCATAGGTCCATAGGTACGCGACGATAATGCAGGAGCGCGTTTTTGTCATATTAAAAAGGTCCGAATTTATTTCATTGCTGGCAAATATTCATTAAAACCGCAATATTAATGAACGGGACGTGTTTTATGGTTCGATGATCAAAATTCGAGTGCAATTGTTTTGATAAATGTAAAATATCGGGTCACTATAGTAAAATTATTATTTTGTGCTAATATTATAATACCTAATTATTTTTATGACATCATGATCTACTTTAATTTTTCCTAAATATGTCATTAATCAATATCAATGAACTTAATGATATTGAGGAGTGAACATTCTAAATAAAATCATATCTATAAACAGTTTTACATATTATTTGTATAAATTCGTATACAAGTTGGTATGAATCTAATTTTTTGTCATGTTTTTAAATAGTGCTACGTCCAAAACATCTCACGTGAAAACGGTCATGTACTCACGTCCAAACGCGACTATTCCCGTTTAAGTGGCAGCGGTGTTATTCTTTTTAGATTCTGAGTGCAGTAAAGATGCTTATGGTTTTGAGAAGATGTTTATTTTTTTTTGTTTTATTTGCGTGCAACTTTTTTACTAGAAATCTTGCTCCGATGTTTAAGTGTAGCACCTTTTCTAAAAGTAAAACTGCGAAGTCATTTTATGATTTTTCTAGGAGTTTTCTCAGAAAATGTGAAAAACCGGAAAAAACCTTAAAGAAAACCGAGAAAACCGGAAAAATCCATAAAATATAAATTAAATATAATTAAAGAAAATATATAATGCCTATTTAATTATTTTACTATTATATGACACGATAAGCGTGACTTCGATACTATAAGTAAGTAATAGACAAATAGCAAATAGACAGCGATGGTTTGTGTATGCCATGTGCACAGTAGAATTTGAAGTGGTCAGAGTTGTAATCAAAATAATCATAGGAGGGAAGAGGTAGAGAGGAAAAAAAGATTTTAACGTGGTCTAGGATGACCCGTAAAATATAAAATATTTTTGGAAGATATCGTAGTCTTTTGAATACAGTAGCTCTAGAACGTGAATGGTTTACATAGGATCTCAACACTAGAAATACATGCAGATTGGTTAAGTTAATTTGTAATTTATAATATTTTATTAAGACTCACAAGTGATCGTTACGTCGTCCGACGGAGGTTATATGCGCTAGATAGTATGGTAGAGGAGAACTACCATCTCTCACATAGTGGTTATTGACTATTGCCCTTATAATAGTAATGAGGGGAGGGTGGGGGTAAATAATGTCTGGTCAGCTTATACACCTATTACGTATATGCGTATATCACCATAATAATATAACGATCGTTACAAGGTATGAGAACAACCGGTGTATGTGGAATGGGTCAGGTAGAAGTTTAGAATGAGGATGGCCCGCCACAATTAATAGTTGAGGTAGAGGAAAAGAAGAAGATGAAGACATTTTCATTAAACGTAACATTCATATGTTTTATACATTTGGCTCATGGCTGACGATATTGACATGGACACTGATTTTACTAATATTATTTTTTCAGAAATAGGTTCTAACGCATGGACTTATTTCTCGGGAAAAGTAAAACAGCGATGCAAAAGTTTTGCTCTATTATTTCGTAAATATTTGTTCACGGGTACTTTAAGTTCAACTGAAAAATCCGAAGAAACCAAAGTATAATTTATTGTTATAGGTATTATTTAATTTGTTTTTTCACGTGAAGGACGCGTACAAGAACTGCACTACATATTACTCTAGACTACATATATACGAGCAGTTCGTAACCAAAGGCTGACATTTCCTTTGTTTAAATGAAAAAATATTGTACTTCGGGGATTAGCGACACCGAGCAAGAAGCTCAAACATTATATACCATCGCCGCAATACTGCCCATGTGGACACTCTTACAAAGTTTCAAACGATTACTAAAAATGAAAAAAAAGTTTAAACTACAATTTCCCAAGTTTTTCCCCTTGGTTTATATTTAAAGAAACTTGTGTACATATCTCTGCGTATCCATACAATAATATCGCCTAGAAGTGTTGAAAAATGGAATCGAATCCATTTAACCCGCAATCTTATTTATACCGAATGTTACATTTAAAGTTCAGCTCCGAGACTTGTTTCGCTTTTATGGTCGATGTTAAATTAAAAATTATTATGTTAAATTGTGGTTTTTACGCATCCGGTAAGTTATTATTTTTATACTCGTATTTATTTATTAATGTATATTTTGTTTTTTATACTTGTGTCCGTTAAAAATATTATCCACGTGCAAAGAGTGCCGAGGAAAAGTGCGTCTATGAGAGACGGGGAAATAATTAATTTTTAAAATAACACGAGCACCAAAAGAAAACTGTTAAGTTTTATTCGAAAATAAGCATTTGTCACGGGTATACTTAAGGGACCCGGTGCCAGGTTTTCAAATGTTCTCCAATTTTGAAAACATTCTGAATTCGAAATTTGTATAAAAAAAATTGTTTTATTAATAAACAACAACAGCCTATAGGCTGCATTGACTTCCGATTTCAAATAATGGAAAAAAAAAAATGGTAAAAAAAGCTTAAAATTTACTTATTTTAAATACGCATTATAAATGTTGAGAGTAAAATATTGAAAAACAGACTTCATGACGGACAATGCGGTATGTAGAATGTTTCCTTTTATTCATTAAAAAAAAGGAAATTAAATTTGGTTGATTATACCGAACAGTATTACTATTTCCGTATAGTTTATTTTTGAGGACAAAATAAAGCACCGGGTGCCATAAACGACAGCATAAGAAATTGTGTAAAGCGTTCAATCGAGCATGTTTACGTACAACGAACGATTTTCGATGGTTTATAACGGGGAATCGATTCCGTTCCAATCTTTTCTCGGGCAACGGGTTACAGCTCGAAATCGGATTTTAGGTTTCGACGGGTTTCGGATAGTGATTACAAAATTAATCCTATGGGTAAATCTAAACAATAAGTTTAATAATATGGTACATTAAATTATAGAGATCGGATTTTTATGCGTTTAAATTTTAAAACATCACGAATAAAATGTTTTTATACAAACGCTTTATAATTTTATCGACATTTTATAACATACGAGTAAATAGAAAATAAAGAAAGAACTGTATTTTGTCTGTTATACGTATATCCAAGATGATTCACTAAGCGTGCCATATTTACCACATATTTTGTATTTGTTCAAATTCTGAATTTCGGAATTTTCTAGTGTAGTTAAGCCGATATTTTCAAATTCTTAAACTTTTCAAAACATTTAAGCAGTATCGTGTACTGATCCAAACATTTTTTTTTTCAAATGATAACCTCTATTAAAAATTCCATAAATAGAAGGAATATAACTTTAAATAAATGTTGTCGTCAATTTAAATATACTTATCTTTACCGTTTTATGTTTTTGCGAGGAGAGGATGTTTTTTTTTAGCGTCAAACACTCCAATTATAGACTCTCTAATTTAAACGAAAGAGATACATACATTTTGGACATGAATGGTATATATATATCAAGAGTGTGCCTGTTGTTGGTTTTAACTTTAAACCCCTCCAAAAACCTTTTTTGTGTTCAGATTTCATGTTTTCACAAAAAATATCAGACTTTTAAAAAATCTTACAAACTCGTGGAAATATGTAAATTGGTTAAATTGAGTTTACATAAATAGAATTGTTGTCAAGGCTAAACTTTCAATTCTCGACCCCACCGTCTCTTTGTAAATTAGCAAAAATCTCTAAAACTATTTTACTCGGATTGAGTGGATACGATTAAGTATACAAATATCGACAGATTCACAGCCCCTTTAATCCTTATGTTCCATGCCGGAAAACAATGGCTTGGATTGCACTACTAAATATTGAAAATCAGTGTTTTTATTATGTTATTCAATGTATATTGTGGTTTTATGACATTTTCGAAAAAAGTTAGTTTATGTGATTTTTAATTTGTTTTAGCATTGCGTTTGTATATTGTCGCAGGAAATATGTTATGGTTACATCAGGTACATGTTGCGAAAATGTTGTAAACATATTATGAACATATTAGTAACATAGGAAATTGTATAATTATATGATCTAGTCTATATTCTAATCTAATATTCTGACAGTGTGTTTTTAAAATGCGATTGGGATGATTGCCTTTAGGTAGAACTTATGGCGGTTTACATACGTTTTGAAAAAATGGTATAACGTACAGTGGTGATAACAATTATTTTGCTTCTCATTATACACATGATGCAAACAAAAACACGTCTAAGCGTACAACTGGAAGGGGAAAAAGTGATGTTTACGATCATCGATGGCGAGGTAGTTGAGCGACGGTGATCATTAGTTATAGGTTTAAATTTTAATATCAGGTGATAATATTCTTCATACAGATCTAAATAGGTCAAAAAAGGTATCTTGTCAATGTTTGATTGGAGCGAAATTTCTGGTAAAAAATTCGTTAATACAGACACAAAAAAAAAAAAATCTATAATAATAATAAACACATATCACAGTTATACCAATACGAGTATATTTATCGCTCCATTCACAATTTCAAAATGTCAACATGGCGATGTGCTAAAAATGCCAATACAATTTTTTTTCAAATGAAGTAGTACGGGACAGAAATTCAGTGTTACTCGAGGTATTGCGTAAATAAATTGGAACATTTTAATAACCCAAAAAATGTTATCCAAAAAAAAAAAAAACACATACACGTTTTAGTAAAACTAATAACTTCGGCGTTACACTCTAAGTATAAAATTCATCGGCCGGAAAAAAAAAAACAAAATACGTTAGAAAAATAGTCGGTTATTAATTTTAATATTTTTCTGCCAGAAACCTAATGGAAAATCTGATTGAAAATATAAAACTTTCAAAATTCACAGAAATTTTATTATTTTTGTAGGTAATATAGTAACCTGAACGACACATTTATCAATCGTTTTGCATAGTTTCAAAAAACATCACTCATGTATACAGTCAAAGTTAATTATCTCGCATACTCGTATATTCAACTTATGTATTAATTTTCCATCTTCAGAACACCATTATCATAATAATTTAAATTTTAAAATATTCTAAAACACAGCATCCAATACTTACCTACCTATCTAAATTATACGATTTACATAAATTGAATATTTATTACGCTCTTTCAAGCGTGGTCTAATGCTGGGAAAGTGGTCGAGTCTCCTTGCCACCCCTTTGCCGTAACCAGTGGTCACGTACACTACGCGTACTAGTTGCTCCCCCTCTTTTTAATAGGGTTTTTCAAAATGGGTATATACATATCGGCTATTTTGGTGTATTTTATCGTTCTTAAAAAAAGTGGTTGGTAATATAAAATGATTAGTGTCCATCCTCGTAAAATTTAAACTTCGAGATTATATTGTACCTGCACACTTCAATTGTGAATACCGACCTGGACTTCGTTTCCGTACGATGCAGGCAGATGCAGCTGGTGAATTATTATTGTAATTACGTAACTAATTGATATAAAATAATGTATAAAGTGCAAAGCCAAAGACATGTTTATGACTATATTTTTTTTCTAATATTTTTTTCCTATCCATATTTTGTTCGATTTTAAGAGTATGTTTTCGATTAAACATTACTACCACCGTGTGCCGCACTATCGGTTAGCCTATGTTGATTTTGTCTACTTTGAAACACCTGCTATGACAAAATTGATTCGTATATTTTTCAGTAGAATACAAACAGTGCTTTGACATCTGTCACCGGTTCGATGGATTTCATTAGTTCTTGTTTACACGCGTACCGAAGAACACTTGTCATGTATACCTATGTGTTTATGAAACGTTATAGCTATAGATAGACACTTGGGAACGCATGATGTACGCTGTGATTACGCATTAGACGTAGAAAAAAAAAAAAAAAAAACATAAAGACAGTACATCGAGTGGGTTTTGTTAAGTCGTAACATAATCGCTACGCTCTTCGTGCGCGCAGAATACTGTTTATGGTCACTGTTATAGGTAAGAAGTCGGGAATGTAGTATGTACAAGGCAGTTTTAACGATAATTCTTTGCTATCAAAGAATGTTCAGAGCGAAGTACGCAGTTATGCATGTTTTGAAATGCCGTGACGATTTTCGTCAACGAAAATCTGTCAACAATTGAACTTCGTCACTAGAGTTTCATTCCTAGTGGATTTGTCGTCGTTCCAGCTTTTTGTTTTCTATTTTTATAATTGATCTAAAATAGTGATGATGGCCCCAGAGTCGTATTACAGATTAGTCTGTATGGGTTTTTCCTGTAAAAACATGGAATTTGAACTTAAGTGTAGTTTGGAAGGTACACCGTTAGTAATCAAACCATGCAAAATTACAAAATTTTATTACCTGGCTCTATTTGGGAGACTGCAGGTGTGTATAATGCACAAAACTAAAAAACATCCTACTTCTGCAACAACATAGTGAAATTCATATTAATATCCAACCAACATTTTATCACTTCAATGCGCCAATAAAACAACTTTATTTCCCGAGTTTGGATTTTTGATTTAGTGGGAGCGGCTAAAAGTGTTCAAAATTACCAGGAAAAAAATATATATAGCAACAACACTACATACTACAATAGTTTGTTTTCGATAAAAACTACTATATAACGTAAAATTGTTTTCTTCATCACTAAGTAAAATTATATTATTATAACATATAAAGTGCTACCTAGTGAAGAGTTTAGAATCCCCTAGAAGTTTATGGATCTACTGCTCCAGGTCTTGTCCATTTTATCATTGAATTCAAATTGAAATACTATATTATTGACTAATATTGACAAAATTGTTTTTGTTATTCATGACTACTCGATATTTTTGTACGGAAAATATATTAAGTCGGACTCGTATAATCAAAGAGTATTCGAAAATTTAAACTTCAAAGTACTTGATAACTGATAACTTGATAACTTGAAGACAAATTATGATTTATTCCAATTTAATATTGGCCGATGGGTTTATTTAGAATATGGAAATCGATCAACACCAAGTAGTGAGGAATCGAACTATTCGGAAGGTGAAGAGTTCTTTTAAACCCAGGACAGTTACTAGCTAGGGTTATTCCTTAGTTAAAATTGTCACTTAGTCAAAATTCTTTGTACAATGTTCTGGACAATAGACTTCATATTAAATTGTTGAACATTTTTCCGAGACAAAATTTTTATCCACTCAAAAATTTCTAGAATGTTTTGGACATTTAATTATGTGTATAAAATGATAGGTAATAAAGTATTTGGTGAATGCTTCGGGTTTCTACAATTTTATGTTTACTGAGTTAAAGTAAACACTAAAATTAAGCATACCTGTATTATAATATAATTACATAAATGTTCCCATTTTTTCGTCAATTTTTTAATGTTTTTCACAATTTTTATGAAAACGACAGAGAGCATAAGTAAATCTGTGGTGTTCGGATAAAAAGTCTACTATAAAATTAAAAAAATTGTTAATATTTTTTTTTATATAAAACTTATTTCACCATGTTTTCATATTTTTTGGACATAAGACCCGAGCACCACAGAAAAAATCTCGCCAATTTACCTACTAGATGAAATATTTTACCAGAAACAATCCCTGATTTTATTGGTTGGATCACGATTCCCGTGTGAATCGTTGTTTATAGCTTAAAAATAAAAAATTAATATACATTATTGCTCATCACTCTTGGAAATTAAAAAATAATAATACGTTTAAATATCACCGAACGGCACGTTATAATAACATTACAAAGAGTGATTTTCTTTACCATGAACCAGCAATTATCTCTGAGGATTTTAAATGAATTTGATTTCTGTTTTTTTAATCATTGTGAAATCGATTAGCTTTATTTTCAAATCACTTATAATTGTTTAGTCCTACTCCATGTACCATAAATAAGTAAGTATATACTTTTGTTTTTTAAACGGGAACTCCTCTTCTTGAACACAGATTCAAATAGTGCATATTTGTCTAAACATTTTGGTATGCATATCCGATTTACCGTTTATGAGTTCTAACCGTTAAAAGTTTAGACTGGAGTAGAGAAGGACGGTGAATTTCATATTTATTTTTAATTGATAAATCGATATCTTCCCTACTCCTCTGGTCTAAATTTTAAACAGTTATAATTCATGTACAATAAATGTAATATTAGTGGTATGCACATCAACATTTTTAGAAAAATACACTCTATTCGAATCTATGTTTAATAAGGGTGGTTCATATTTGAAAAACAAAAATAAATACTTATTTGAAGTACATGAAGTGGAGGTAAAATATTAAAAGTGGCTTTGAAATAAAGTTTAACTGATTCCACAATGATTAAAAAATAATACACTTTAAAAATAATTATACTCTGAATCTCTCGGTACAAAACTGAAGATGTTTATTTAAAAAAAAAAAAAAAAAACAAATAGATACATAATTAAAGTTGTAAATAAAATAATCATAGCTCTTATTAATATTTATAAACTTTTTTTATTATCTATATATATAAAATTCAAATACCACCGACTCACTGATCGCTACTGGTCATTATTATTTGTGGAAATATAATTTTGCCGAGGTCCATGATTCAATATTTGCCGGCCGTGGTAGCCCCAAAGAAGGTCTAGGGGCAGCATATCCTGCCTCCGTGTGAAAGCCTATGATCTGTAAGCAACGATAAACCATTGCTAACGAAAAAACGATTCTAAGCGGTGTTCAGTTGATAGTGTTGTTTTTTCAACAACATATATGCCATATTATAGTAAAATAATTACCACAATGTGCGTTTCTACGACAAAAATGGTTGTATAAAAAATATTAAAATGATAATAATTTAATATTAACAAAAAATAAATTAAAGCGGTTGCCAATGGTAACCGTATTTCTTATCGTTCAATCTTTTTTAATCAAAAGAACCAGGTTTTTCTCGTTATCTCGAATATTAATGAGAATTTCAAAAAAATGACCTCTCTACAGTAGCACCCAGAGAACACTTTCTTTCAGGAAAAATGCATAAAAACAAAAATAAATATTTTTGTAAAAACAATACATGCTTCGCTAAATTTAGAATTTTCTTTAAAAAAAAAAAAAAACATAAATCAAATTCATTTGAAATCTTTCCAGAAAATTTCTGGTTCACGATAAAAAAAAAACCATTTTGTACAACAAATATTTGTAAAATTCGAACATTTTCAACTTAATTGTATTTTTAAAATATATATTGGTTTTATATTTTTGCATGTGAACCAATTATTTAATATATATATATATATATAAATATTTAATAAATCAATTAATTTGCATTATTGTCATAATAATAAAAAAAAAAAAAAAACAAACAAAAGTAAAAAATTATGGAAATACTGTAGGTATAAATATTCAAAAAATTAATATCGAATGAATTATTTTTGGATTAAAACTTACAAGTTTTAAAAAGTTTCGACGAACCGGACGAGCAAAAAAAAAAAAACTAAAAATTGGTTCTGTATACCTAATATACTGCAGTTATTTTTACTCTTGATACATGAAAAAGTTTATAATTCTTTATGTTTAAAAAAAAAAAAAAAAAAAAAAAAAAAAATATATATATAATATAATTAGGTAAGTAGATAGGTATAATCACGTTATTTTGTTTTAAATAGATTATATTGTTATCTTAGAACGAACAATTTGCTATAAAATATTCGGCAAGTTCGTTCCCGCGTCACCGATATTATTATCTCAGTTCGCCGGTGTTATTAAATTTTTTTTTTTTGAAAAAACCTTCCAAATCGCCAACGCAATATAGTTTTATTGAATTATATTATAATATTCTGGTTGAAAATAATGTTATAACGTATTATTATTGTATTATGGTAATGATTGACGTATTGTTGCGTATACAACTGCGACGACTGCGACGCGCGCAACAAATAGTTATGTAGCTAAGTACTCGAATTTTGTAAATCTATACATTCTGCTTTGACATAACGTTATTATCGTTCGTGTGTGTGCGTATGACACGGCACGCAACCGGCTGTATTCACCATTCATCACATACAGGGTCGGCTTTGAAAAAAAAAAAAAAATTGAAATTTCGCCCTGTTCAATAACAATACCAATACTAATAATAGATTGTTCGTTCTTTCAACGTCGTGAAAACTGCACGTTTAATGTAATCCGATAATGTATCGAAATTGTATTTTTATAATATGACCCGCATAAAAGAGTTCACTGCGAATCAGCAAAAATTAATTAATAGTCGTTATTATAATCACATGAAGTACAATATCATTTTCAACGGAATAGAAAACGAATTTCGACGTTACGTCTAGGCGTGTGTAAGCCCACTGACATTTATTTTTAGTCTACCTACTTTATAAAATGTAATACGGAATTCGTGTTACGAACACGAATTATAGTATTTGATAGTATTGCGACTTTGTTATCTCAGTAGTTCATTAATTGTATGATGTTGTATCGCTAACAGAGCATTCAAATTATTATTATTTTTATACTATATATATATATTAAATTATTAAAACTAGATAGGTACCTATATATATATTTCGTATTTTGTAAGTCAAACGAGCAATAAAACAACGTTGCATCACCTTTCATGGTTTTTATTAGAAACCGGCGGTTATCTACGATAATTTGGTGTAGATACTGTGGTGACTTTGATCATTTAGTTTAATTTAGTTTTTTTTTTTTTTTTATTCTAACCGTTATTCGTTACTATTTACTAGTAAAAAACTAAAAAAAAGGATCCTCACTTCAAGTTGTACATTACCATAAACTAGTTATGTATAGTAATACTATTTTTTTAAATATTACAGAACATATATATATATATATATATATACCTAACATAAATTAACACGTGTGATCACTTTGCTAATCATATTTCGGTTCTCTCTTAAACCGATGTAGTGCATAGAAATCGATGTAAATAAATAAACACTTAAGTAAACAAGTGGTTATTAAATAAATAAACACTAACTTGCTAATTTTTCACAGCTTTAAAAAATATGAATATTTAGGTAAACACAGGTGAAATTTGTGGTTAATTTAAATTCAACACTACCCATGTGCAAAACTGCTTATATTTTCTCTAGGTGTGTGTAATTATTCATATTGTACAACGTCATAATATTGTTCCATCTTTTTTAGTATTGTTCAGGGCCAACTATATCGTTAACGAAACCGATGCTTTTTGATCTTTACGCGATGGACCAGAAACAAATGAAATCATTCATTTTTTTTTTTTGTTAGCAGTGTACACCTAATCTATAAACTCGTCGAATTTCACAGTGTACCTAAATGTAGATAAATACCTTATACCTACATGATTTTATTGTACGTACAACGCATAGTCTGGCTCAAGTTTAGTTGTTGTACCATCACTCTATAAACGGTTCCATATAGTTTTAATCAGTCGTGGAATTTGGTTACATACATGGACTGAAATATTGGATGTCCCGATACAAGGCCACAATGTGTGTCCCATGAATTACAAATGTGCGGTTTTATAACGTGTATATTAGTTTTAATTGTAAAAATAACAGCGATAAGGAATTTCACTACAATGCATTTTAATTGATTGATAGCAACTTGTTCGTCATCATTTTTATATAGATATCATAAACCATAACCATGGTCTGGTTAATTTAATATTGCAATGTATTAAAAATTACTGGTCGTTTCACCTGCACAATTGAAAATTGTTTGTATGTAAAAACAAATATGCCATCAATATCGAAATATAATCTATTGGCAGCCGTATATCATCATGATTAAATGAAAACTCACACTACGGGAAAGCCGCTACTCAAAAGTGATAACAAGGTGTTTTTCCCTTAAAAAAAAATAAGTTGATAACAAACCGATCGACTAAACGATCTTATTCAAAACAATAATTGTTGTTCATTTTAAATTGTTTTATAGATATATATATATATTTTGAACCTTTACTGATATTTATTTTGCACTGATAATTTTTTGTAATAATTTATATAAATGTTTTAGGGTATAAAGGACATCCTCCCGAGAGTTCTGCGGTAATAAATGTTACTAATTTAAATGACAATTTGGTGGCGATGGCATAAAAATACCTAGATAGGCAAATGCTAATTTAGTGCGATCTGTGGAGGGTTGGGGTAGTATATTATCCATTCAACTTGCTACCCCAATTTAATTTTGAGTGTGCACCACTAAAGTTTCCTCTCACTTAACGCGTTAATCTGCTCCTGCGTTGTCCATTGTATTGGACGTAATACCAACGTCGACCCACATATCTCTATAAATATTTAAGTAGAGTCGAAATTAATTATTCTCACTGTTTTAATGTGGGTATTTATCTATGCAGTGTAGTATATTTTACTGCATTTGAGTTTAGCCCGAAATGTAATAATAAAATAAATAAATGTCAATTTTATATGAAAAAAAAAAAAAAGCTATAATAATAATTAAAGTGATAAGTCTGATGTCGGTGTTTATTATTATGTTAATTCGATACGAAACTGTTTAAACACGTGATCGCCACAACAAATCATTTAATAAAGTAACTAAAACTATGGACCTTTATGGGTCAAAGGCCTACAGACAAAGCTACTATAGGTTACACACGTTGGCGTGATTGTATATAATAGGTACACAATCGTATATTTTTTTTTCGCGCATTATTACTACATACGTGGCAGATGTTATTTATTTTCATTGACCGTCATTAATGTAAATAAAAAATATAAAAATCACGAACGCGAACTTTAGCACATTAAATTAACATCGCGTAATAATATAATTCATGCACATAGAAATACAACTCTCGGCAACGAACACGTAGAATGTAAGCGTTCGCTATTGTTTCCGTGTTAAGAATGTAAAACACTTGTGTACAGTAGAGCTAAGAGTTTACTAAAGTTTAATTTTATTTAATTGCTATTAGTACAATAGGGGCTAAAATAGTATTACGACGCACTGTACTACAATATAGCGTAATTTGATTATAAAAATCGTTGGAGGAGGGGCGGTTGAAGGTTGAAATCCCCAAAAGACACATTCTTGAAACTAATGCTATACGTTTTCGGTGTTTGTTAATTGCGCCGATTTCGGGACGCTACCTTTATTATGTACATCTACTGTGCCGGTACAAAAAAGATTTATTAAAAGGCGTATATCAATTGCGCCGATCGATAATCTGTGTTGTAATCAAATATATCTAAGAATATTTTTATGTTCGATTTATCATGCAACAATATTGATTGGAATACGTTTACGTATAACAACTCTGGAAAATCATTACTTTTATAATATTTATATTATTAATAATTTTATTATTTGATTATTTGAAGATAAACATTAATTAACAAATATAATTCGTTTAGTATATAAATTGGAAATTTGCAGTTTAGTAGTGCATCCGTAGTGTCATAGATCGTACTAGTGAACTTGTGTTCTTTAAAGTAATTTAATAATAATAATAATAATAATAATAATAATAAGGAAGAAACTGTAAATGAAAGTGTAAGGATAAAATAATTTACCAACACTATACATTTTCTTGTAAAGAATTTACTAAAAAAGGACGAAAATGGTAAAAATTGCAACTCTAAACTGTACCTTAACAATAGTAAAACGACAATATTAAATGAAGAAACTAAACACGACCTTCCTCTTTCTGAATATCTGGAACGGCAAATTATTTCAAATCAAAGGAAAAGGAAAGCAATGGACGATTTAACAGAAAAACCGTTAAAAATAATAAGTAAGGAACTATCTAATAAATTAACAAACAATTTTAAAACTGATGATATATCAAAAATAAGACAAAATGTATACAGAGCTAGACGAAAAAATACTTTGAAATTGTCCAAAAATTTGAGAGAAACCCAAAAAAATTTAATTAACATTCAAATACTTACAAACAAAAACGAACAATTTGTATCCATAAATAATTTTGAAAATAAAATAACTGCATTTTCAACAGTAACTAAATTAAAATTTCTCTGTTGTTAAGAAATAATATGTTTGTAATGGAAATTTTCTTATAGTCCTGAATATTTTTGTAACTTCGTATAGTAGGTATTATAGAAACATATTATAGTATAATATAATAAATTATTATATAAATTGTATTAAAATTATACTAAAAATTAACTAAGACATACCTATTTATTTAAATAATTATTAATTTTCCGGCGCAATTGACGTTTTCATACCCCTGGCTTCATTTAGGTAGACTGTAGGGGTGTAAGAAGCCAACCCCCACATTATCCGTAGCAACATGTGTAAATTCATATTGAACCCAACTTGTATGTACAAAATAACACAAACTCCCAAGTTTGAACTAGTTTAGTCCAGAAGAATTGAGGAATCTACTATATAAAAGATCAAAAGTAGCGAACAAAATATAAAAAATACTCAAATTAGGAGGAAAGAGCTCCTCTAATAATTTTATTTATTATTTTTAAAATTTTGACTATCATTTTT